GGAGCTGGGAGGGGGAGAGGGAGGGAGCAGGCAGGTCTGTGCTGGGGATCTCTGGTGCCTTGAGCAGGCAGCGAAGGCTAAGGTATTGTGAGTACCAGAAGTTGTTAGCATTAGATAGTTCTTTCAAGGGCGGTCCCACCAAAGGAATGCCAGCTCTCATCCTTATTTTCTTTCTTTTTTTTTTTCCCTCCTATTCCCACCCCCTTGTTTTTAGAGTTCTATCGGCTCTGGCTGGAAACTGCAATGTTTTTTGAGCTGCTGACTGCCCTATGTTTCTGTCCCTACTGTAACTTACTCAATATAGATGAATAGTTTGGGTCTTGGAGAAGTCTGTTTCTTCCCTTCCTGAGGAAAAGACCTTCAAAGCGTGAACTATCTTTGTGTCCTATCTGCTGCCACGTAGTTCCTTTCCTTTGGAGTTCAATAACCATGGGGCCATCGAAAAGAGAAGAGAAAGAGCAGAGCATAATCCTGATCAGTGATGATGAAGCTGAGAGCACGCTTGGGAATTCAGTTCTGTTAGTAGACCCATTGGGTAAGTACTGTGCTGCTGTTGTCAATTAAGTTCTGTAAAGAACTTTTGAAATAAACTGAAGTAAAATATTGTGTGATATGCTTGAAATGTGTCTTTCTGCTGCTAGGAAAACTAACTACTTCAAAAATAAATAAAACCAGGAGGAACTGCCATTATTTCATGATGTTTGGGATTTCTTTGATGGCACTAGTTACTTTAAAGACTACTGCTGTGTGGTTTCAAAATATTACAAACCTAGCTGAGACTAGGCCTTTTCAATGTCGGCTGGATTCTTTTTGGTTAAGTTAACTCTGTTTTGATAGTGTGTGGAAGTTTTTTTGTCCTGGGCCAGTGTACCATTCTTATTGGCACCATGTGAAATCTTGTGAGAATTAGTGCCTTATAGTGTTTTTAAGAAATAAATGTCAATAGCTGGTTGAATTTGTAATGAAGTTGTAGTTACCTTTATACTGATTTACACTGCATATTCTCTTTTCTACAGAGAATTCCGCCCTGGAAGAGGAGAAATCTGAAGAAGTTGTGGATGAGGAATGCGAACTAATGGTTACTTTCTGTAAACAAGCTAAAGTGATGCCTCATGCAAGATACGACTGTACAATACACCCGTTTGAGTATGTTCAGTGATGTGGAAATTAATAGCGGGGGTTCATTTTCCACATTTAGTCCATCTTGTCAAGTAACCTTGTTAGCTTTTTAACACCTGAAGGCAGAAGTAGAGTTGGAGAAGCATGTAACTTGTTTCATAAATAACATTCTGTTTTTCAACTCTGTAGGCGAATGGAATGTGATACGTGCTCACCCCTTGGGAAAAATGCTGATATTTGTAATCAGTGCTACTGCTACATTTGTGATAAGCTAGCTTCTGAGGTAAGAAGAGCCATAATCAAGAAAAGCATAACTTTGAGTAACCTAAATTACTCAACAGTCTTCTTAAAAGAAATCACTCTTTAAGAAACACTAAAAGAATAAATGATACATGAAATCTCATTATTTTAACTATTCCTCTTCTAAATGAGGAGAGGTATCTGTTACTTCACAATGCTACTAAAAATGCAGTCGCTGTCTGGGTTTATTTCTAGTAGTCCAGCCAGTTGTTGGATTAGACATTCACTTGGTTTAAGCAAATGTAGCTCCTGTTTGTCTTAGGCACACAATGTATTTCACAGAATCAGATTACGTAATTAGACTGTTTCTCACTGCACTAGACAAATGTCAAACTTCTAGTTTTTCCTATTCTAAAGAGCAGGTGGGGAGTTGTTGGGCATGTGGAGTTTGTTTGGGTTTTTCTTAGAATTCAGAAAACTTTGAACTGTGAACAAAGTTGGGGTGAACATGCAAAGACAGTGCCCTGTTACTAATTTACAATGGGGAGGGTGCCAGCCCAAAGTGTCTCTATAAGGTATTCAGGAATGAGGGTAAATTACTGTGGGTTTGGGGGTTTTTTTCTTCTTTTTAAGACATAGTATTGAGGTATTGCCATATTGGCCTCTTGCCCTGACTGTCAGAATACTTCATTGTGGCTTTGTCTAGCTGCGTAAAGGACGAAATGAATTGTAGTCTTCCTGTCAGAAAGATGAACCAACTTTTAATTTGCTCAACTGGAGAGAAAAAAAAAAAGCACTTACCTTGCTTTTCATGTTTTATGAAATAGTGCCAGAATTGGACAACCCCTTCCCTCTGTCACTGCAATGCACACAACAAAAGCAAGTTCTGGAAGGACCAGCGTGACTTTGCCTTGGCTGGTGTTCTTGTAATGTTCAATTTGGACCTCACAGATATAGATGCAGACCTTCGGCATGGTGGTAAGCGTTATGCTCTCATACTATCCCGAGAGATCTGTGGCTGCTTAGTCTGTGACTTGTTGGACATCTTGTCTGGTCTACAACTCTTCTTGCAAAGGCTTGGTGAATTTTTCAGGTAGCAGCTTACTGTTGCTACTCTCTTTCTGGGCCATACTCAGATCAGACACAGGTCTGCAGACGTCCCAGCTTATGTGCTTTCCTCCCTCTGGAAGAAGCAACAAAGTTTTCCTGGCCAAAAAGATAGGGTGCAAGTAACTTGCTAAATATTTTACATGGCGTACTTATGATTGTCTTTCTGTTTCTTTTGGCTTTGAAAAAATAATAAAAAAATGCACTAATGGTTTCACATCTGTCTGCTCTCTTAGGAAGTCTTCTAATAAAATTTATCCAGGAGCTTTCTGTGGAATATAATAAATATCTGGTTGGAGAAAGAATGCCTCCCACACAACATGAATGCTTTTGCCTCCCAAAATTGCCTCCTGGGCAATGCAATATCTGCAGATCACGCAACATGGAGATTGTATACAAGTAAGCAGCAACAGAACTTAGCTACTAGCAGTACAAACTGGTCAGCGCAGGTTTGATTTCCTTTAGTCAAGTGATAATCAGAATCATGGCACCTGATATAGCAGAAACATAGTTGAGAGAATTTACTTGGCCAGTGAGCTATAACCTGGGAAAGCATGAAATTGAAGCCTGTATTTTTACTAATTTGTTTTTTAGAATGGGGTTCAGCTTTTACTTGATGGTATGTGCCTTTGAAATGCTTAAAGTAATGGTTGTGCAAACACCTTTTCACTATGTTATAGATGCTTTTCAAGGAAAGGCAAGTCAATTTGCTCTCAAACTGTAGAATGGTCATAATTGCCATTTGTTTATGAAGTACATCATTGCAGACACTTTATCTTATAGATTACTTAACTTTCTTAGGTATTCTGGAGTTTTTGCGCTGGTAACAAGATTTTTAAATCAGGCAGAAAGAGAGAGTCCTAAAGCTGCTGCTGTCATGTTTCTGGGAGCAGCTAAAGAGATAGCACTCCATAAAGACCCTGCTTTGTAAGTATCCAGTTCCACATCTAGTGTATGATCTTTGTTTGCTTCTGAAAAGGGGGAGGCTAAGTGAGAGAGTTCTGCTTTTCCATTTATTAAGGGTAAGGACAGTGTAAAGATCACAGCCTTGGCTGCAGCACTGAGAGAGAAAAATGAGTACACCAGAGGGAGAAATGAGATTGGTTACGGGGAGGGATTTGGGGGAAAAGAGAACGTTAAAGGTTGGATGTGAGAGGAAGCAGTTAAGTGGGATTGAGTCATGAGGGGGGAGATGATCTCCAACACGAGGAAGGTATTTGAGATGGGAACTGGGAGGAGAGAGGGTGAGAGATAGCAGATGATGGCAGGTGGAGTTAATTCCCCAGGAGAAGGTACAGGGACAGGGGAGCTTTCCTGAGTGGAGAGTGCACAAGTTGCATTGTGTGAAGAAACATCTGCTTCTGACCTGGAAGGAAGGGAGGATGTGATGTTCCTTGGGTAATAAGTTTTAGATGCCTCCCATAAGTCTAGAGGCTGACCTGTCAGCTGGGAGGACTGCATAATAAATAAATAAAAACAGACTTTAAATACTTTAGTCTTTACTACTTGTGCTGGTTACTTTCTTGTTTATATCACGGCTGTTTCATGCTTGATTACTGTCTAGCCTGAGCAAGGTCCCAGAGCTTTGGTTTGCAAAACCTAAATATTTTGGGGCTTAAATTCAAGGCTTTTTATAAAGGAGAAGTAAACATGGTCTGGGTTGGTTCAACAGGCCAGAAACAGCAGCTCCTCTGCAATTCTTTCTGAGGAACTGTCAAGGTTTGCAAGGAGCAGGCTGGATACGTTATTTGGGTAGGTCTCTCTTTGTACGCTTATTATGAGTCCTGCAGCATTCACTGTAGTTACACGGGATGTGGTTTGGCCCTCTCATGGGATGATGATATACAGCCCTTCAGGGGCCCTGTAAAAGCAAAGATGTGCCCACAAAGGTCCAATATAGCAGGTTAGAAGATTTGGTACTGCTTTATGCTGCTTGGGTCAGGGGTGGGTTAGGTACTGCTGTAAAACAGTGTTAATTCTAGAATGTTTTTTACGCTTTGAGCACTTGTTTTTTCTGTTTGGAATAGTTTTTATTAGCATGATAGCTCCCAATGCTTCTTAAGAAAAAAATGTTTTCTTAAACAGTTGAGTATAGAGAAAAAGAAAAGGCAGGAAAACAAGCCAAACATTAATTAGTGCTTTTTTCTTCCTCTCTTAGAAGCTGGCAGAACCTTGGTCATACTGCTTCATTAAAGATTGCTGTCCCTTGTCTGTTGCAAAGGTAAGACTTATCACATGACGAGATGGCAATGGGATGGTTGCTGGCTGCAAACTTTCTGCTGGCATTTAAAATGCATTTCAAATTACTTTTATTCAAAGGCATAAAGAAAAAATAGTGAATGCTTTAGCTCTTAAAAGCCAAAAGTATACTTGCACAGATATATAATCTTACAGTTCTGTAGCATCAGGAACTCCTTATAAGGGAACATAGCCTCCACTGTACTGTCTTAGGCATTGTTTGAGCAGAGCAAGAATAGCCTGCTGCTGCCTGTGTGTAGACTATAGATGGGTAGTGACAGGCAGAAGAATATAAACAAGAGCATGCACTGGTCAGCATAATGAGCAGGGACTTCAGCGTGCTATCAGGTTCTGCAGTTGTACACTACAAATTGGGATTTTTAGAAGCTCTGTTTAATATTAGTCCCTTTCTGCGAAGGACAAGTACAATACCTGCCTTATTTAGAGCCAAATAAACATTGAAAACCTTCTTGGTTGCCTCAAAGGAGAATAACTCAATAGGGAACTCTAAACTAAGAAGATGGATTACTTTTTGACTGTAGTCTAGGAATGTTCTGTAAGGCCAGACCAGAAGGTGGTGTCAGGTAGCTACTTGTGGTTATTAAGCCAAAGAGTAAATAGTGTCTGTTAAAAGATCAAAACAGCAGTCTTGTAGTACTCCACTGGGATGGAGTAGTCAGGGATGTAACATAGTAAAGTTCCCCCAGAGGCTGATGAATGAGGACATCTAGCTCACTTGGCTTAATTCATTTCTCATTTTAGCTTTATATTTCACCTTTAACCTGAAATTCACTTGCAACAGAAGGTTAATGAATTAAGAATTAACTTTTTTCAGGAGCACTCAAACACAATTATATATTCTCACCTCTTATTTGAAACTAATGACAGGTATAACCTAAATCCTGTATCAGTTTTCATTTTAAATTACTATTCTTGAATTTTTTAATTTCTTACTTTAAAAGAACAGGAAGAGGAATTTTTTTGCCTCCTTCCCCCAAATTTTAAAAGAGTAAACTCTTCTTTGTGTCAGTGTGTTATCTCCAGTTTTCAGTTAAGACAAATAAGGTTTCACTAGCTGTGAAGCTGCCAGGAGCTCAGGTTGATCAGGTTGCCTATCGGGTTCATCATATGTTGCTGCAGTGTTTCTCACCTACACTCACTGGGGAGCTTTGTTTTAAAACTTAAGACCACAGAACCTTGGTTTCACTGGTGTTTAAAAATAATAATAAAAGAGCAATACCATTACTCATGACAAATCTTAAAACACAAATCTAAATATAGATCCAAACTGTCTGATGCTTAACAAAAAAAACCTACCATAGTTTCCCATAGGATTAAAAAAAAACCCACAACTTAATAGTAATTCATCCAATTTTAAGAGGTTTTGATTTTTCTTTTTTTTTTTCTTTTTAAAACATAGGATCACAACACAACTTCAGAGGATGCTGGTGTTGTGTGACTTTCCAAAAAATTTATATGAAAAGTTTGTTAATTTTTTTCAGTCCATCTCACTTCCATGTCACTGTTTTGGCTTCTCAAATAGGTATGTTCTTTGTTTTTTGTTTACAGAATATATTTTTATATAGTCGCCTGATGTGCAAAACAGCTATATAGAATAGTTCTTTCACTGATAGTGTTAGGTGTGAGCATTTTATAGGAAGATTTCAGTATTAGCTGCTTTGTATTTGTCCTGTCCTTTCAGGAGAAGTTGTTGTTTGATGTTATGGCTAAGTTGTTGTCTAATGCTATAGCTAAGTTGTTGTCCATATAGCTTTTTTCTTTCTTTTTTTTTTTCCTTTTTTTTCCCCCCCAGAAGTGAGCTGTAAACCTCAAAATGTTTTATTGGTAAATCTTCATCTTTCTTAAGGGAAATAAATTGTGGTGTACAAACAAAACATGGTTAAAAATTACTTTATTTTTGTACTTCCAGCTTGAATGTTGTGCCATGGGACCATGTATTACTGACCACAGTTTTAAAAGGCCAGAATGTCACTGGTCAAAGAACACAGAAAGGAAGAAAAGTATTTCTGTGGGAAACACTCCCTGTTATAGAGGCTCGAGTGGAGAAACTGGTAGATAAAAAGAAGTAAGATCGGTTTGGTCTTGGTTTGGATTTTTCATTTTATGAAGTCAACTTTTACATTTTGCATGGTATTGACTGCAGTATAGTGTTTTCCATCTATCTGCAGGAGCTTTGTATAATGGGGAAACATACAAAACAAAGACACATTTGAAGCTGTTCATGCCCATTACTACTTTATCAACAAGGCCAGCAGCTTTTTGAAGTTTTTCAAAGGAATCGAGCCCTTTGAACACTTCAGGACCAGAGAAGAGTGTTGAAGTGGATAATTTTTGTTTCCATAAACCCAGTAGGTTTTAGATGTTGATGTTTAAAACAAATTCTGTTTGTCAAAGGCTGACTAGGTGGAAGACAGCAAAAAAGGTACATTCTGGTCTGTAGGTCTTCAGAAGTCTGTATTCAAAAGAATACAGTCCACTTAAAGAATTAAATTGAAAGGCAACCTGTTTTATTTTGCCAGAGTACAGAGAAAATCTGGGGATACCCTCTTGAAATTTATTTCCAATTGTCTCTTTCTGCCAGTTGTATTTTATTCTATTGTGCAATGTCTCTTATGTGGGAAGATCTACTGTTTTGCTTTATTAATTGTGGTAAATATTTGATTGACCTGTGTATAGCTTTGTACTTCCTTCCTCTGCCTGCTCACCTTCTTTTTTTCTCCCCAGCTATAAAGAAGTTGTTCGCTACCTGAGAGCTGTGAAATGCAATGATACCAAAGGGTAAATGGCTTTTTTTCCTTTTCTTTTTTTTTCCCCATTTGGTTCTTTGCCTTAAGATTTTGTCCCAGTCTGTGTTTCTTCAATGTGCAATAAACTGGCAGAATGAAAAGCAGTAGGATTTTGGCAGCTGTTTGTGAAGTGAAAGTAATGCTGCATTGCAATTAACTTCCACCTTACCAGATGTAACTTACTAGTGGTGAAGCATAATTAGATCTTTACATATGTATTGTAAACTTTCATGTTAATGAAAATCAAATATTCCTTTCTTCCTTCTTTCCAGGTTAAGAGACCTTCGAGATAAAATCCCATTCTACTTGTGTAAAACTGGAGACTTCCTCGATGCTGCGCATTCACTGTTGTTTCCCGTCAATAGCCTCGCCTGCTGTACTGCCTGCCGGATAACACCTTTTCAGTTTGAGGTCTACCTGAAGATGTTCAGGACAGGCAGTGTCCCCACTGCAAAGGATATGCTAGAGCCTGGGCCCTGGATTACAGTTGGCAAGTGTGATTTCTTGCTTACATGTGTTTAGAACCTGCTTAATTACAGCTTTTACTTTTTCATTAAATCTAGTAACACTCTGAGGGACTCTGAACCCAACTATAAATTGTCCAGACTAAAGCATGGTACATAACATTAAGCAGGAAGAATGTCTTTGTATTTGAGCATGAATTTGTTTAGTACACTTCCCACAAAACGCTAGTTTTGTCAGCTGTGAAGTTGTTTTGCTGAAAGCAACCTATTAAGAGAAAATACAAAGCTCTCTATTACATCACGGTATTACCAATGGCAGTGTGTAACTTAGCATTATGGTATGTCTCAGCCTTGACCTTGAGAATAAAAGCTTCCTGATCGAAAGGGTTTCACGATCTGTGTATTACATTCTGTCATTAGTTCAGCCACTGATTACTGTGATCGTCTGTCTTGGTGTGTGCTGCTTGTCCAGGTGTATTCTGAAATGAAAGATTTACTTTGGAGATGTTCAACTACTAGTAGAATTCTTAGAGGTACGAGATATTGACACTGTGTATCGCGCTGTACTGTGGTGTGATGTACCTAATGAAGACTTCATTGTGGATCACCTGCTGTGGTGGCTTAGACTAAATTGTATTCAGTTCTTTGCAGCTTTCTAGGATAGCATTTTACAGTTGATGATGTTTTTCTATTCAGAACCTACAAAATACTATAAAATAGCTGTAGACACTTGTTTGTGTCTCTTATTAGGTTTCTGTAGAAACATATCTGTAACTAAGTTAACATCTTGTTTGTGTTCACACTATAGTTATTCAGGAAATATAAGATATGTTTTGGATTTTTTCTTCTTGCAGGGTCTCCCTTGAAAGATGGTGTTCTAGTTAAGCAGGCGCTCAAACTCCTTTACAACAATGTGTCACTATACAGGAATGTGAGTCTGTATTAAAACTGTGTTTCTGTGGCTCATCGAGTGTTTCTGTGTATTACCTGTTTTGTCCAGTTACTTCTCTAATGCAAGGATTTGCTATCAGAACCCTTTTCTCCTTGAATAGTTCACACCTCTGAGCAGATTTGACTTTGTAAAAGAAATGTTCTGCTATGTTTTCAGCCTAAATGCTGGAGTTCCCTCATCATGATCTTGGGTAGTAGCAATTTGCTGGAAAAAAGTGGGCACCTACATCCCCTATCCCTGAAAGAGCCACCGCTTGACTTCCAAAAGGTAACTGAAACAGTACTGTGAAATGGGAAAATCTGTCGTCTTGCTTTTATACAAGACTTTATTTGATGTGGGCATTGTCTCGTCCTTCTAAATACTAAGGGTAACTATGCAGTGCCTCATCAAATACTCTTGTGGTATGTGCCCAATATAACACTTTGCAGAATGTTGTGATTCAGGAGTGTTAAATGCAACAGTAAACAGATTAACTCTGCTTGCAGCTCGATGCCTGATACTGATTCTATAGCTTTTAATGTTGAGATGGATCAGATAACAAAATGGATAGGAAACCACTTTAAGAAAAATGTGTTCAGATAGTCCTAAAGAGTCAGTATCTGAGTATTTTCTTCACAAGAACAGAAATAGCTGTCTGCTAAGCGGAGTAGGCTAAAATGAAGATGTTATGCGATATGGTTTGGTTAGTGCTGTAGAGCCTCATCTTTCCTTGAGTATGATGTTGAACAGTCAACTTTCTCTGTAAAAATGCTGAAAAAAATAAGTGAAAGCACATCAAAGAACTGTCTTGGGCACTGATGTTTGTAGGGTATTTGGACATCCTTCCCCTTTACTTGTGATTCATTACTTCTGTTGCAGGGGGTGCTCGCTGCCAGTGGCGGCCTTTTGGAGGAACTGAAGTCAAAAATTAATGTATCTTTACCACCTGCTATTTTGTCTCCTCATGTAAGTGTGCACATGGCAATAATGAAATTTACCATTTGTGTAATTGTGCTTGAAGATACAGCAGTATTGAAAACAGTTGGATTATTATGAAAAGCTTTTAAGAGGGGGCTTGAAGATTTTGGGGGGGGAATTGGCATAAGAATTAGGACCGTCTAAAAGCTGGAGCAGATATTTGAAGGTAAGAAAACTATTAGGGTCTGTTCTGGTCTGACACCATCTCCAACCTAGGACAAGTCTGTCTTTATCACTGTCCAAATTTATGCATTTGTAAAGTGGGAGGGCTGGTAATAATTGATTCTGTCTTAACTTCTCACAGGGTGATCTTGTGTGGTTTGATTCAAATGGGAGACTATCCTTTGAGACTTGACAGTAGCCCAGAATTTCTAAACTTGTTTTGAATGATGGTTTCAAGTATAGTGAAACATGTTTAAAGATGGCTTGAGATATATTCTATATTAAATACAGTCAATACATCTAAGGAGCTATCTTATTCTTTTTTACTTCTTTTGAGGAAACTTAGCTTGCCAGAATTTTTTTTTCCCTTGAATTCTACTTCTGCTTCTGTGATGGTGTGAGACTTCATGTTTCTGTGAGAACTTCGAGAGCACCAAGTAAAACATGCTATATAAATAGAAGTACCCGTTCTATTCCCCCTTCTTTTGGTCTTCATAAGATTCTTGTGGATGTCATGTTTGACATCCAACCTGTCTGATTGGAATGGTAGTTAGCTTAGTGCTGATTTGACTGGATGTGATATACAAGTAGTGGGAAAGTGAGCTTTTAAATATATGTCTTCTTGTTGTTATCTTTTTCTGTAGTTGCACCATGAGGCTTGTCTTATTCTCGCAGTGCAAGCAGTACAACAGATGCTTTTTTGTGATCTTCCATACTTGACTTCCTTCTTAGAGATAGCCCTGGCTTTTGGGGTGAGTCCTAGATATTGATTTCTGTTGTAAGAGATTAAAGCAAATGATATTTAAAATCTGTGTAACACCAACTTAGAGATTTTAGACACATTTAATTTGGTTTTGTTCCCCTTTAGCTTTGGTGACCTCTAATTTATTCTGGTTTTTGAGAAATGATTGGCAATTAGGTTAAATCACTGATCTTATTTTGTCTTTTCCTAGAATAACTTTTGGGCTCTGAGGCTGTTACTGGACCATCTTTCCTACGAAGAACATGTTCTCCATGGCACTGTCAACCTGATTTTAAGAGATCTAAATCGTCAGAAAGCAACAATGCTAAAACTGTGAGTAAACACTTGCTCCCTGAAGTGTGTCTGCTCATGGCGACAGGAAGAGCAGTCCTGCAGCAGTAACGTTTAGCAGAGATGTAATCCTCAACTCTCTGAAACTAGGCAGCCCTGTGCTTTGGTTAAGTCAAGAATGCAAATAAGATGCTAGGAATCAATAGGAAAGTTGTCTCTGAACAGCTGTGTTCTGTTTCCTGGTTTTGTATTGCTTAGGTGGCAAAACCTTGGTCCCCAGTATGTGGGTGAATTCCTTTGCCTGTTCCTGACTTGCAGACATAAGAAGATGCAATCCATTGGCCTGTTCACTCTGAATATTATTACAGAGAACCTGCATATGTAAGTGTGTATCTTCATCATAGCCGAAGAGAAAATCATTATGTGTTGCAACACTGATGGTAGTTTTCTCCTAATTAACAGTCTCAACTCACAATTCATTCTTGTTTTTTATTCTTCCCTCTTATTAGCAGTGGTAAAGATACTGAACATGATGGTTTAGGTAGACTTGAAATTGTTCTATGTTACCTGTTGCAACCAGACAGACTTCTCGCTTCCCAGTGCCCGGTGTTATGAAAAACATGTTATGTGCTCTTCGCAACCCTGACTAGTCATCATATGGTACAGTCTAGTTCTATCGCTTAAATATCTTTATCATCAACAACCACCAAAACACCTTAATTAGGACTTACAGCAAAGTAGTTACTGGACTCTAAGGAAGCATAATACTGCATAAAACTTTATTTAGGGAAAATAGCTGAAAGTAGCTCAATGTGTATTATTGTGTATCTGCAAGAATACAATGGGTGTACAGATGTCAACGTTTCTTTTAAACTCGTAAGAAATGTAAGGAATACTTCACGTGGTGGTGAGGGAGTAAGTAGATCCCCACCAAAAACTAAAGATTCAGGAACATATGTGCACTGCAATGCAAACTGAGGACAGCATTAGGTTTGTGCCTGCCGTTCTTATCGTCGTCTTAAAAGAAGAGAGACCCCTTGCTCCACAGCAGCACAAAGCTTCAGTGGGTGGGGAAAACAGAGTTCTGAAAAAGTCTGAGTTCTTTATTTAGATTACAAATTATAATAAAACACTGATGTGTCACTTTTGAAACCACTAGCTGTTTATAAGTATAATCCTTGCTCTCTTGTGTTATGCAGTGAAGCTTTAGAGGCTTTAGAGTGATGGACTGTAATGTATTGACATAATAGTTTTAAAATTAATCGACTCTGTGGTTGTATACCGGAAGGCAGAGTAATTGCCTGCTCTGGCACTTTTAATTCACACATAGCTGATGGCAGCAGAGTAGTGTTGAGAATTCACTTCTTAGTAACTGTCTTAAGTGGAAATCATGGACATGTAAGTTGACCACCTTTGTGAAATGCTTCTGTCTGATTCTTCTCTCCAGCCTTTGCTGTGTGTAGCTGAGAAAATAAAATACTGCATTTCAGCCAGTTATGCATGAGCTAAGGTGTATTTAACAAATTTGCAATTCCGTTGTCTTTTTTTTTTGTGTGTGAGGCTTTACAGTATGCTGTAGCAGTGACCCAGGAGAATCTGATGAAATCTTGTTTCTTATGGTCTGTCTTTGTCTTAATTATTTTACTGCACATCTGTTGCTGAAATCATCTCCATTTGGTAGTTAAAGTGAATTGTTGGATTAGCCTTCTTTTAAAGCTTTGAGTAATGCAAAACTCAGAGTGGCTGAGACTGGGGGCAGGTCTGTCCCTATGAGAAAATGGATTAAGAATCTCTATCTGTTTTTCAGGTGTCCATGGGCAAAGCATCTTTGCAACTTCTTTCACAATGCAGTGAGTATCTCTGTATTTTAGAATTTAACAACAAAGCATATCAATGAACACTATATTACTTATCAAATAGGTATTTAAATCTATCATTTGATATATCACGTATCAAATATATGTCAGTGTCATTTATTATAAAATTATTATAAAAATCACTGAAGTATACCAACTAATTTTTTTTTCTTTGCCCAGGGATTAAGGCACCTGCCCCTTGGCACTGCAGCTCATCATGAAGTCTCGAAGTTCATAAACATTTTTGAAAAACTGTAATTTGGCAAAATCTTCAGGAATATTTTCCAATTTGTCTTAATCAGAGAAATCTCTTCCTGGAGTCCCCTGTGTTCTGCTTTGGTTGTCATCTCCAAAAACATTCAGCTAAAAACTGACTTCAGACAAATCCAGAAATGAGCTCCTAGGTTAAGATGGTGAACAGTGGCTGTATTTCAGCAGACGTGTTTGGGAAATTTCCTTTCTTGTAGGTCCCTGTATTAAGCAGTTTAATTTTAAAGAAGTGGCAGGTTTAAGTTTTTGGGTTTTTAAAGCCAGTATACAGAGAGATGCTGATGAGGAGGGTGGGAGTAATGAGGGGAGAGAAACACAGATGAAGTAGAAAGCACCACAAGTCTTTACTTCTGTTGTGTTGCACAGCTGTGCTGTGGGCAAGATGTCTGCAGCAGAACAACTGCTGAGAGCGCTAATGTTTTTTAAAAAAGGAAGAGTGCCTTTCCACAGGTGTACAACAGTATGCATTAAAATACTGTTTGCACACCCTCTTTTATTTAGTGTATAATTCTAAAAAGTAAACCACTCTTGAGGCTGAGGGACATTAACTGAAGCTTTCTTACTTGCTTCAAGAAACCAGATTCAGGAAGGCCTAATGCAGTAAATAGCTTGTTTTGTTTGTAAATAAAAAACTCTAGTTTTCAGGGTCTTCCAGTTGTGGGGCTTTGTTTTTATTTTCTGCAGTGGGTAACTGTTAGACTGGTGCTGATGGCTCTGGGTTTCTCAAATCCTTATTATAGTGGTAAGTTTCAGAGTTCACTTCTGAACTGTGGAGGTAGAAATAGAGAAATATTTCTAGCCTGGTTTATACTCTTTTTTTTTTTTTTTTTCCCCCACTACAATACCTGTCTGCATTGGTTTGGCAGTCAGGGGAAAAAGAATCTTAATATGTGAGGAACTGTATTTTGCACATTTAAGGCTTTCAGTGGCTTTTGCAGCTTTTGTTATCCTAAATAAGCTATGCTATTATTCAAGTTTTCTACAAAAGTGTACATGTATCTAAATCAATACAATGTTAAGTAAAACTCTGTAGAAATTCCGTTGTTATGTTGTCAGTTCTGTTTTGGTTTTTTTGTGGGGTTTTTGGTTTGGTGTGTCTGCGGGGTTTTTTTGGGTTGTGTGTTTTGTTTTGTTTTTTTTTTTAAGGGTTGCTGTACCTTTATCTCGTGCTGTCCAAGATCAGCCAGGACAAGCAGAGGTCAGCGAAGTCCCCTGATACTTGGGAATCTGGTTCTGCTGATTGTTGGCAGGGCTGGCCACATGGTGTCTTGTTCTGGTCTGTGCTCCTAAAGACGCACTGTGGTGTTTCATCCTGGTTTCCAAGAGAGGTGTTTCTTGCATGTTCCTAATATGATCTTTCTCACCTCATCTACCTGAGTAGTGGAAGGTCCCTGTTATGGCTGAGGGGGAGAAAAAAAGAGGGGGAAGGAAGCTGTGACCACTAATCTTCATAGGTGCTGTATCTGTGTTCTCTGCTTTGCCTTTTGTCAGAGCTTTCCTTTCTCAACCTGCAGTCTGGCCTGTGATGCTCTCTGGGTGCTCTCCCAGCAATGCAGAGAGGCTGGACAGCCGACTGCCCTGAAGGCTCCTGTTCTGAACTCTCCAAATTTTGTTAGTCCTTGGGCATACTAACAATAGGGTGTTACACTGTGCTTTGTCGCTTTGCTGTGGGTGTAAAATGACAACAGCAAAAGCAGCTGAGCCCTAATATCCAACTGAACTTGGGCTGGGCGTAGACTTCGATGTCACCCTGTTCGCTGCCCTGTGCAGGACCTGGCACAGGAGGGAGAGGGAACAGGTGAGGGCAGGTTACCCCTTCGAGCCTGGATTTACCATCACAAGGAAAGGCTAGGAACTGCTTATTTACTGTAAGTAAATAGCATATCTATTCATTATTTATCTGCTTCTGAATTTTAATGAATTATAGCAGCCCTTATAGTGAGCATTATACTATAGATAATGATATAATCTTTTATGTATGAGAAAAAGACTTTCTCTGAAGATCTGCACTTGTCTTTGGGCATGGGTTGGATAGACAGGTATAGTCATTACAGTCAACCACAGTGGAAAACATCTTCCTGGTACCCTGAGACTATGACTAGTATAACCCTAGAAGTAAACTGAAGGCTGATCTCGTCTGCTTTGCTCCAGGTATAATTGAGATGAACAGAGCTTATTAAAAATTGAAATGTGTAGTTTGGAGAGGAAAATGGGCACCTAGAGCTGTCTCATCCAAATACTGCATTTTAGCAAACAGAACTCTGCTGTTTTAGCAAGTGTGTGTGTACAGCTGACACTGCCAAACAATAAATAGAACATTTGCAAGTAAGTGTCTGCATCAAAAATAAAATTTCATCTGAAAATGGTGAAATTGTCTGACGTTCTTAAAATCTGGAATGGGACTGCTATCATCCAGCCCAGGAGTGTAATGTACCTTTGGGCCAAGGAGCTGCTGGGTTTTGGTCAGCTGTTCTGAGTGTGTGCATCACCATTGATTATGGATAGGGTTTCTGAAATACATTGCTAATAAACTAATTGTTTACAGGCCAGAGAGGGGGGAGTTTGTAAATGTTATATTGAGAACAAATAAACAACCCCCCAGCCAGTGCTGCCAGTAAATCTGTGTGGCTCTTCCAGCTCTGTTCAGGGGGAGAATGGTGATGCACATCCCAACAGGGTAAGCTTGGACAATGTGGCTGAGATTATTCGGATCCAGAACGGAGAACACGGAGTGGGCAGCTTTACCCTTCACCCCATGGGCAAGGGTGGATGTGTACGATACAACTGCCAGGGGCTGAGTTCACGGGCACGGTGCCAGCAGAGCCGGGGCCATCCCCAAACACGCTGCTTCTGCCTGCGTTCCGCTTCCCAACCTCGTCTGCTCAGCGGGCTGGGAGACCGCTGATACCGTTTCTACCAAGGACACTAATTAACCTGCTAAATGAGTTTATCCCTTCGGAGTGCGCACCAGAGAACTGAGTTATCTAAAATACCATCCCAAAGAGAGCCATAATTAGCAGCCGGTGCTGAGGGCAGACCCCATGCTTCCCAGGGACGGCTTTGCAAGGTGGTGGGGGCTGGCGGCTCGTCGCTGGTGCGGTCCCTCACCCCCAGCCAGCATCCCTGGGTCGTGCGCAGCGTAGCACCGGGCTGCATTTGTCATGTACGACATCCCCTTCCCAGCCCACGGGCCAGCTCCTGTCTGGGTAGTTCCTCTCCTCCTGCTCTCGGAATTACACCGGGACAGCAGTAAGGAGTGGGATGCAAGTCATTGCACAGCCACCATGGGACACAAAGGAGTGGCGCTCCTCCAGCTGCCTGCCAAACCAAAAATACTCAGTTTTAATAACTGGACTAAAAAAACAAAAAAAAAAAAAAAAAAACCCACCAGCTTGTTGCTGGCTGCCAGATTAACAGATGGCTACGATCATTAATATTGCAAAACTTCAGGAGTTCATAATTCTTTAATCTACAAAGCCGGTGGGGGTAGCTAATGCGGGCCCTGCAATCTGCCGTGCTGGGGGGCTGCCGCCCGCCCACCCACTGCGGCCGGGTCCGTCCCAGACCCCCCAAGGGTTGGGCAGACGTTGCCTTGGTCCTGCCTGGCCAAGACAAGGCTCCCTGCCTGCATCAGGGGAGCCCGCTGGCAGGCAGCTGCTGCCTGCAGGAGGGATGAGCGTGATGACCCCTCCGGACTTAGCGTTGGGGTTGACGGTGGCTCCCAAATTCACTGGACCCTGCCCTGCACCCGCGCAGCTCTGCCAGCCCCGCCACCGTCAGATTGCGGAAAATCCATGGAAATCCAATAACCCGTCCCCAGTGTCATTTTATCGTTAAACCCAAGCCTTTCCCATAATTGTTTGGAGGCAGCGCGCGGAGATTACGATTGATGTCAACAGCCAGATAATCTGCGGTTCAGTGTTTGGTATCGCTGACCTCGTTAATAGACGCCGGTGATGTTTGGAGCATGGGGAGCCTGCCCTGAGCTGCAGCCACCCCAAAGGAGCCCCGTGGCTGTTTGCAACAGAGAAAAACTCAGCATTGGTGTTGCAATTTAAAAAAAAAAAAAAATTTATGATTTCCTTTGGGTGAAAAAAAAAAAAAAAAATCCTCATGCTATGGCTTGCAGTGGGCTCAGGGTTTGGCCCCAACCAGCTCCATCGATCCCTGGCCAAGCCCCAGACTCCAGCATCCTCGCTCGGAGAAAGGCAGAGGGCCAGCGGCTCCATGAGGCTGCCAGGGAGAGTCTTATGGCCATCGATTGCCTGTGGAGGCTGAGGGCTGGGAGGGCAACCCGGCTTCATCCCGGCCCCCCACGTTTGCCACCCTCCTGCTCTCGGCTTCTGTGTCCGAGTTGGTGCTGCGGGGCATCGGCCTCCTGCTCGGTAGAAATGGCTCTGGCGGTTTAATGCTATAAAGGCTTCTGTCTACTGGAAGAGGCATCCTACGTATAGAAACGTATATATGTATTTATATATTATATGTGTATATGTGCATTACTTTTATGTATGTTATGTAATATATAGTATATAATATGTATAACAAATTACAAATACACCTATACATATGAATATATCTATTCAACCTCCATACATATGGGATATATATATATGCATACCTATGTGTGTGTGTATGTGTAAACATATATGTGTATATACACACACACTTTTTTTTAATGTGTGTATACTAGACATTAGTATACGTTTGTATAATTGGATGAATCTGGCCCAGGTGTGTTTTAGAGAGGACAAAGAGCCACCCGTACAGACAGGGGCCCTGGGTGTGAAGGAGGGGCTCTGGGGCAGGATTTGGGCAGTTTTTTCTTTGTGGAACCCTTGCTTTGCTTTTTTTTTAAATGCAAAGCTGCTGTCACCATAATTACCTGAAGGGTGTTTTTTTAATTGATTGCTTAATGAAGGGTAGGGGTGGGGTTTTTCTCACTTCTTTGTGTTTTTACTTTTGCATTAATTACACTGCCTTTAATCAGCTGACAACTGTTAGTGGGCTTTTTCCCCTCCCTATAAGAAGTCACACTTTTTTCTTTTTTTTTTTTTTTTTAAATGTTGTTGCACTTTTCCCCTTGTGCTGATCCTGCCCCTTCACCCACCGTATGGTTAGTCTCCAACTGCTTGCTTTTTGCATTTGTCTTTTTTTTCTTCTTCTTCTTTTTTTAACCAACCCCTCCCCAGGTGCCCCCCACCTCTCCCTATCCCCCCCAGCTCCGCCAGCATCAGAGAAGCGGGAGGAAACAAGAAATCTGGAGAAGCCATGGGGTGGCTGGCTTTGGCAGGGATGCAGGCAGGGATGCAGGCAGGGATGCAGGCAGGAGCAAGGGCCTCCCTGGGGGACCGCTGTGCCCCTCCACAGGTTACCCCCCCATTCCTTAGGGGCCCTTCTGTCCCTTAGGGCTATGGGGGAGGCTGGGGTAACCCCATTTCGGCAGCTCGGCCGCCGGGTACCAGGATGCTCCTTCCATCCTGGGCGCTCGCATTCAGCGGAGCCAAATCCCCCGGGAGCAGCGGGGGGAGGACGCTCCCATTATCCGGCTCCTGCCGTGTTGGAGGCAGCTGGACCAGCCGTGCATTAATAGATTACACAGAGGATTTGGGCTCGCCAACAGCGAGGGGAACGCTCGCAGGAGGCAACGCGGGCAAGGCCAGGGCGGCTTGCCGAGCCGGCGGGGACGGACGCGGCCCCCGCTAACACCTTTTCCGACCGAGGTAGGTGGAGGGTTCGGCCGCGGTGCT